CACACACACACACACACACACACACACACACACACACACACACACACACACACACACACACACACACACACACACATACACACACACAGAGGTGATACTAATGGGAAACAGTGTGATGAGAAAGCAACGAACTGCTCTGCAGCTTGATAGTATGCAGTAAAAACTCACACTGTGTCTGTAGAAGGGGTCAACTTTTGTTGGGTATTTGTCAAACTGTAGGAGAAATGAAAAAGAGCTAAGTACAGATTGTAGAGAGGAGAGGGCAACCTGTGAATACATTATCACAGGGTTGAGATGGACTTCTTTAATTCAGGCATTACGTGAAATAGCATTTTTTAAAAACAGAGAGCATGCAAACAAAACAAGAGCTGAGACGTCAAGTGGTACTTTAGTTTAGATGCTTCCAGAGAAAACCTGTTTTTATTCTCCCTCGTGGTGATTAGGTTAAGACCTTGTACGTTGGTGTGGGCTGGGCCGTGTTTGGTTGAAGGCTCAGAGCGAACATTTCCACAGTCAAGACTAAACAGTGCAGTCATAAAGAGCCTTTTTATGGCCTCATTAGCTGTCAGAAGACTCACCACGATGCCTTTGAGGTATCATCAGAGCCAAGGAAATGCTCCACACTGTTATGAATGTGTGCTTATGTGAGCTTTAGAACGAGGCACCCACTGCCTGTGGTCGCTCCCAACAGAGAGCGGCATTTTTAATGTTATGCATTTGCCAGTAATGAAAAGCCTCAAACAGGACCAAATGATGTCATTAAATTCAGAATGAATTAGGAGCATTATGTTCTGAAGCTGGCTCTAAAGTCTGCATGCTTTGGGCAAGTTATTGCCAATTTAGAAAATAACAGCATTCAAAGTCTGGAGTTTTAGCGCGTGCCAGAGAAAATAGTAGAAAGGCTTTCTGGGAGAATAAAGACACTGCTGTAGCATGCACACATGGTCATCATTGAAAAGCCACCACAGAAACCCACAAGTCTCTGCTGCTCACACACATGTCCAGATTGTGTAAAATCTCTTCTACAACCACAAAGCAAAAAGACTTTCAGAGCTGTCCCTGCCCCCTCCTCTGGAAAAGTTCTCATTAGAATAAAAACAGGAAAACCCCCTCCAACCCAACACAGGTGTGTTCTACTTATCCTCACATTTCTGGCAGGGGTACGCACCATGGGCGGTGCTGGGGTGGGCATGATGGCGTGGGGGAATGGCGTGAAGGTGTGCTGGTGCGTGTGCTGGTGGGTGTGTTGGTGCTGGTGCTGATGCTGGTGCTGGTGGAACTCGGTGCGCAGGTAGGGCGGAGGGCCCAGCGATGCGCCGCGGTCTGCACTCTGGGAGGCCAGGAAACGCGTGTTGAGCTCCTGACGTAGAAGGTCTTGCTCTGGAGGGATGGAAGAAAGGAAAGATTGGAAACAGGAGAGGTCTCTCAGGGTTTGCTGCCACATAAACCGAGGGTTTGTGTCGAAAGTTTAAAGCTTTCCTGTAGATGTGTTTTAGATTTAGAAATATATCACCAAAAAAGTAATGTATCAGAGAAGGAAAGAAGCAGAAACTGAATGGGATTGTTGGCATGTCATTTTGAGTTTAAGGAAAGCTCAAGATGATTAGATTTGTCTGACTGCTGGACCCATCAAACGCTGTGATTTGATCCACTACAGTCCCTCTGAGACGGCAGCATCTGTTGTTCTAATAACCTTTGAGCAACCTGTGGAGAACGACTAGATTTCCATGTAATTATTGGCTTTTCTTCTAAATTCAACAAAATCCACCATGAGAGACTGTCTCCTCCAGAGTAACTTTATCCTCCCTATTCCACAGTGGCACGATACAATATTTTCGACATTCATTTCTTGACTTTATTGGACTGGGAGTGTGGGCGGAATTTTCTCTTCATAAAAATTTCATTAGTATCTTTTGAACAAAATCCAGCTCGCTCCGTTCTGCATCGGAGAAATTGATTTCCTGCTCATGAGGATTGTTCCAGGTGAAAATGACACACACACACACACATACACACACACACACACACACACACACACACACGCACTGTTAAAGAAGTCCAGTAACAAGTCTGTTTCAGCCATTATAACGCCAGTTTAAAAGTGA